TGTTACCCCCCCCCCCTCCCCGGCCATACAGCACTTCCCACCCTTCTACAGCCATTCATCTCCCACCCAGCTATATAGCCCCTTCCATCCCTCACCTTGCCATGTAGCACCACATACCCCTTCATACACCCATTCATCCCCCACCCAATCATACAGCATGTTCTATCCCCTCACCCATCACCTCCTCATGTACCCATCTCATCTCTCCACACAGCACCTCCCACCCCCCATGCATCCATTCATCCCCTCACCCAGCTATACTCCCCTCCCAGACCCCCATCATACACTCCTTCATTTTCCCCATATGGCATTTGTCAATCCCCCCATCACACACCGATTCATCCCCCTACCCAGCCATATAGTATGTCCCATTCCCCCACCCAGCCATTCAACATCTCTCCCTCCCTCCACCATAGATCTATTCATGCCCTCACCCAAGAGTACACCTCCCACTCCCCGCACTCCATCTATTCATTTTCCCACCCCCCTAGTGATACAGCTGTTCCTGGTTGGTTCCCCTCATAGTACATCCATACACCCACTCCCCCCACCCTGTGAAACAGCAGCCCCCAGTTCCCCATTATCCCATTCATTCTCCCCTTTCTCCAGTGATATAGCAGCTCCTGGTTTTCCAGAACCCCACTCGTAACCTCCATGTATGACTGGAATAGCCACCCCTTTCTCTGTGGCCTGCGCTCTCATGCCATCAGTTACTGAACTCAGTCTCAGTGCTTTGAAAAGGGGGTATTTAGTGATGAACCATTTGGCTGCTGGGAGTGGGAAAGTGTATGTAGTTGACCTTGGAAGTGGGAACCCAAACAGTGGGTCAAACTCGTCTCTGGCATAAGTACACAAAACTCCCATTGAATTCACTAGTCATTGTGCCTGCTTATGCCAGGTTTACATTTCGTCCATTGGGGATGTGGAGTCTGAGTTGTGTAGTTTTCCATAATTTCAGCTTTCAGTAAAGAACATCTGGATGGCATGTTGCAAAAGATTTTTGACGCTTTTGTGTCTTTGTTGCTTGTAAGTAAGAAATCCACATTACAAGCCAATTCATGTTTCAGAAATGTACATAATATAGTAGAAAAGTGGAATCTACAATCTGAGATATTTAAGACGTGTATTAACCTTTTTGTTCTCCATCAGTCATGGCTGCTTTTGATAGTGAGCATTCAATGTTTGTGTCTTGTAACAGGGAACGTGTTATAATAATACTCATAAATATTCTCTCACTACATCACCTGAGTTTTTTTTATGCTTTTTTAAGAGGAAAAAAAATGTATGTTGATGAGACATGCTTGGTTTAGAGTCCTGGAGAATGAAGCCATCTGTCCACTGAACTGGGAAAGCCTGGGCACTAGAAATGTAAGCTTCCCTTATATGTTGCCTTGCTGACCATCTCTAGGGGTCAGGG